TTTAATAGAAGCTTGAGAACAAATCAACTATTTTAAAAACCAGAGCAGGCTCCTAGCACTCATTCTCAGCTTGGATTTCTCATTTCTGTGCAATGAATCTTAATCACTGGGTTCTATTGTCCCAGTTTTTTCAAGTTCGTTCTTTCAATGTGAAATATATTTTTACACATTTACAATTATGCTCCCAATATTTATATTAGTATTTATATTTGATGAGAAATTAGTTCTAGGGGTGACAGAAAAGACAGAAGTAGGTCTGACTGATTAATATGGAAATATCATAATCTATGGATACTTTATTATTTATTACAAAGGCTCATTTACTAAACTTTCAAGAATATATATTTGTCTTCCCCATAAAAAAGGGAAAAAATGTATTTAAAAAATTTATTTTTAGATCAGTGATTTTTAAAATACTGGGTTATTTTTCTCATCAATGTGTTGTATTTAGAAACTTAAAAATGTAAAATTTCTCTACTGAGCAAATTGACATTACGTTTAGAAGCAAATCTAAAAGAAATCAACAATTCTGTTCAGATTTGGAATGAATTCATCAATTGTTTGAAATTAAAACATTAGGGAAAACTGTATTAAATTGTGACACAATACAATAAACCAGCATAACAAAATTTCTATTTACATAAATAAAAATATATACAGACAATCCAGCCTAAAAGCAGTATAAGCACACATGTGCTTCCTTCTTCCAATTCCATTTGCTTTTTCGCACGTACTACATAATCAGATTTTTTATATGTTTATCAGACTATTCACTGTGTTTATGACACTATGCCATAGCATAGTGAGTCAGTATACAAAATAGTAATATAATATTAAAATATTTTCATATGTATATACATTACATGCATTTATGCAATTAAGACTTTGTGCCTGTGTCTACTCCTTCTTTAGGCAGAATATAAATTCCTTTTCAAAAAGGGCCATGTTTTATAATTAATGATATTGCTGGTGCTTATTGTGGTATACGAAGCTGGTAATGAAAGAAATCTTTCATTTCTTGAATTCCTTTCTTCATCCAAGAATAAATAGGAATGGCATTACACATCAATCCTATCCACCTGAAAGAGAAAGTGACCATCTTTGAAGGTGTCTCTGCTAAGAAACTGTAGGACATCTCCCTCATGAGTAAGAAAGACAATGTTTCCAAGCCACGTGTTTCTCTTTGTAATCAAAAGTTACAATAAGCATATGAAAAACAAAAGCTCTCAGAAAACTCTTTTATCATTTAACCATTATCTGTTCATTTACTATTCAAGGTTATCAGGAATCACATGGGTAACTTAAGATCAGAAAGAAAATGAGCTACCTAAGTATTTGCCATCTACTCCATCTAATCTTTAGGCAGCACAGCACAGAACAACGGCCTGAATTTTTTAAAAGCTAGTGGCTGTGGACTTAAATGCAAGAGGTTATGAGGTACACAAATTTAAGACAAAAACATGGGCGTGATCAAAAGAATACATGTCCTGGTGTACAGATTTGCCACATGCAAACTAAAATAAATCTTTATATTTTATACGTAGAGGGAAGTTTTTAAAGCTCAGTATTAAAATTTAATTGGTAACTTTGACCTTGAGTGCCACTTCAGGTGATAAATATTACACCAGTTCTGAGATTTTCAGATTTATGATCTCATGTTCTTGAAAAAGGCCTAGCACCTCCATGTTCCTGAAATAATTGATCTGCCTCTTACAAGTGTTATTTTCCTGAAACCAACATCTGTCTTAGGAAGAAAAGTACAAACTGATGAAAGTACTCTGCTATATTTAAGATACCCAAAAGAGCTACCAGAATTTGCATCTAACACATTACTATATTTATAAAAGTAGTCAAGATCATAAATTGATAAATTTCTTAGCACACAATAGACAAGAAAAAATAAACTGCAAAGCCATTTCTAAATATTTTCTATAAAGATTAACCACAATTATTAATAAAGACTGATTTTTTTTTTTTAATAGCATGGAGCTTGAACTTATGACCCTGAGATCAAGACCTGAGCTGAGGTCAAGAGCTAGATGCTTAAATTAAATGAGTGAGCCACCACCCAGGCACCCCAAGAGTGAATGTTTTAAATGTGCTAACAAGACACAATGCAAACCTACAGCTCACATGTTTTTCTTGCTTGAATAGAACCCCACAATATATGTTTTCAACTTGGGAGGCTTTGTTTCTTTAATGCAATCACAAATATTATTCTAATGTCACCAAAAAACACTTAACCCTACCACTGTCGATTGCTTCTCTTCTTAAAAATAGGCAAAACATCATGGAGGCCTAAATTAGATAAGCAGGGAATAACTGCAAATCTGAAAACAACTATAATTGTGTAACTTCTAGCTTCAACGGAAAGTCAACATAAAATTCTGGGTCTGTTCACAAAGTCATACTGGCAAATATTATTGATTCTTCTACACATGACTAAATGTCCCCTATTAAGTTCAGTGCTCTACCATAAAATAATTATTAAAATAATTGCCAGGCCTTCGCATTCACTGCATACTTGATGTTGTTATAAGCGCTTCACACCTATTAACTCATGTAATGCTCTCAACAACTTCGTAAGGTAGGTACTATTGTTAGTGTCCTTTTAATGAGGAAATTACAGCAAAAAGAGAGAAAGAAATTGCCACAGGTCAACGGCAAATAAGCACTTAAGTTGGATCCCTAGCCCAGGCAATGTGTCTCAGAGCCATGCGTCTCTCTTACCACTAGATTAATCAGTGCTCCATTACCACATCTACCACTTTGTCAGGAGGAGCAATTTAAAAAGCAAGAAAGCCAATGCATGCAGAAAATGCATACAGCTATTCATTAATTCCCTTAACAAGTACTTATTAGGCACCTACTACCCACAAAACTATGCATAAAGTTCCTTTCCAAAAAAAGTTTACAGTTAATCTTTTTTTTTTTTTCTACAAACCACCCTAAGTGAGACCCGAGGAAGCAGTGTGTTAGCACTTGGAGATATCAACTAAATTAGCTAGAAAAGATTAAAGAAATTTCCATGGTAAAAGCACTAACAGCAATAACGCCCCTTGGAAGCAGTTTGTCCCTTGCTGAGGAAGCCTCAATTTTGCTGATTTCTTATTTAAGCATCTTGGAAGGAATGTAAAAACTGTGAAAATATGCTAAGTGATAGTCACATCAGGACCAACTCAGCACAGGGCAGTGATCAAGCAAGGGTTAACTATGAACAAAAAAGCTTTGCAATGTGCCAACTGAAAGAAGCAAAGATCCAAAAGACAACCAACTCTCAACACATAATTCAAGTCTAACATCAAAAGACACTGTCAGGGAGAAACAGTTGTTATCACATTAGCATCTACAACAGGCAAGATCATCAACTATTTGTTTTTGCTTTTTTTTTTTTTTTCACATGTGGAGAAGTGAGAAAATGCTCATATATAACTACCATACGTAATGGAAGACTATATGATATACAATATTTATGTGTGTGTAGGGGTGTGTGTGTGTGTGTGTGTGTGTGTGTTTCTCTTACAAACATAACATATAGGAACATGAAGTTCTAAAATCTTTGGACAATTAAGAATATCAGAACAGTTGTACCTATACAGAGCCATTAACTTGAGGATAAACTATCATATTACTGGTCCACTTTGTTATACTTACAATCTGTGAATTCACTACATCTCTCTTTAAATAATCTAAGGGATCCTAAAAATTCTGGCTATAAAGCAAATTGTTACTTGTCAAATGTGTTCCTACTGACACACTATGGAAATGCATTTCCCCAGAAGAGAATGGATTAAATGAAAATGCCCATAAAAGAAAGAGAAAATACTTATTTGTAAAAGATCATTTTCTGAAATAAAAATATGACACACAAAATAAGAAAAAAAGTATGCTGACAGTCATATACTCCCACTAAATATAAGTCACTTCTAAATATTATTGAGGAATCCTCTGTAAAAGGTATTGTGTTGGGAAAGTTCGAACTATTATAATAAACCAGAACCCCTATTTTTTTTAATGGGCTCAATTCTGTTCTGTAGTTAAAAGATTTAAACAGATCTCAGAACATAAGTGAGGCAATTTCTAGCCAGAGGCAACAAAGCTCCTATAAATCTTTTCAAACAGCTCATAAACTGGCATGGCTACCATGGGTGTGGTTTCAGTTAAAAGCTATAATGCTTTGAAAGCTCAATTTTACAACTAGGTGAACACTGTTTATGATGAGAAAAAAAAACAACAACACATAATCCAGATTATTTTCCAGCAGGGTTACTTCATGCTTTACCTGATTTATTATCAAGTTCATATATTTGGAGTCCTTTAGCTATGTATACCCTTTACCCACAATATGACCATATACATAACAAATCTTTGATAATTAAACTGTGGAAGGCATTACTTAATGGATGAAAAATAATTATACTAAAATAATGACAGGGCAAATCTCATGATGTTAAATAGAAAATAACTGAATGCTCTCTGCAGACAAATAATTGGTCCCGAAGGAAGATACATGTTCACAAAGTCCTTAAATTCATTCTTCGAACTTTAAAATAGTACAGATAAAGGGTGAAGAAAACTATTTTCCCAAATGAGGAGGGTGTCAAGATTGTCTAGTTTATGAGCTCCCTCCACCTCCTTCGAAAAGTTAATTTTTAAGTACCAGCTTGTTGATTTTCTTTCCATATTTGGGAGCGAGAAGGTGGGGGAAGGATATATTAGCATTAACCCAGCAGCCTGCGGCTGTTTCAGTAAGAAAGTAACCAGCTCAACTGCTGGTTCTTGAAAGAGTGTGGTACTGGTGGTTACTCATCATGTGAGCCTGTCCCAGCATCGTCAGGTAAATGATTTACGCATTAGACCGGCGCCTCCTGGTCACACATCACATACCAAACTGCCAGGAACAAAGGCCAACAATCTGTCTGATTTCTAAAGCAAGTCCCATATACTTTCATAATCGCTTAACTGAAGTCACGATTATAAACATATAATCAGAAACACACCTGGATCCACCTGTCTGGGGTTTCTTCGGAGTCCATTGGTCCGTTTCTGTGCAGAGAGATAAAACAAAGCAAAACAAAGATTTCACATTATTAAATTGTATTAATACGTGATACTTTGGAAGGCCAATGTTCCATTTTCCATTTTAAAGTATGACTAAATTTGATCAAAACATGTGGTTCTACAGTTTTATAATTTAATTTTTCTGCTTCTCTAATAAGCCTTCCCCTTTTATTTGATGTTGATATTACATCATAGAAAAGAAACATCTTTTACCATCTCTGGGTATTATGACTCAAAAAAACTTTTTTTTTTTGAAAGTTGTAATGACTATACAAATTATGAGAACAAAGCTGAAGTAGCTACTCTTGGTTAGAAAATGCTCCCAGCAAAGACATGTAATCTCCAAAACTCTAAGTCAGCTATTTCTGAGGGCTGACAGGTCAGACCCTGGAGAACCTCACAACGGAGATCTGAAGCTCTGACTTCACCAAACACTTAAATGAGAATAGTGTTTTAATTATGGTCACTTGCATCTCAGTCCTTGAAAAAACAAAACAGGCATGCAGCTTGTGAACCATGAAAGTGAATTCTTATCACAGAAAAGAAAGCCTTAAAAAAAATTGTGCATTACAAAAACTATAAAATAAGATGCGAAACAAAAGAAATTTTAAATGTTTGAAAATGCATGATTATGTGTTTAATTTCACATGGAATTAAATTTGTTCCTACCTAATAACTATAGTAATCTCACTAATTAATAGGACTTGATTATCATGTTTTATTATACAACGGGATGAAATGCTGAGTCTATCACCACCATATAATTTAGATTTTTCACAAAAGCAATTTTCTTCCTATGTGTGTTGGGGTTTGTGCCCATGTGTGGAGGGGACTTGGGTTTCATTCAGAGAACATGTAGCTTTGTTAAGCACACATTAGCCACGTATTTTTCTTAGGGCTCTTCCTACTGTTTTCATTCACAAGTTAAATGGGTGAAATAGGGTCTGACAGCTTTCACAATGGCCTCGAAGCCCATCAGGCAGATGTTCAGGATTCTCAAGGTGAAAGCAACTAGAGAAATTTTTCAAGTTTTTGTTTTTAACCTATTTTCAAAGTGGATTTGTAAAAACCAAAGATGACCATTAAAATCAGCATTAAACTATGTAGAGCAGGATGGATAGCTGTACTGGTAAAACTAGTATAAAGAGAGCCATTATACAGTGAGAAGAAAATGTCACTCTGGGCTTCTTGACAGCCAAGGCACAAAAAGGGGAAGCATGACAAAGATTCCTAGCTGATAATTTGGATAAAAGCTGCTTTCAGAGAAACTCTTTTTTCTATATGAAATGTTACAATATCTTTAGAGCTCTCTCTATAAAGGACAAAGAACACAATGGACAATATTTTCAACAGGAATATATATAATGATGAATATCATGTTGCTATTTACTTCCTACACATTCCTTCACCTTAATGTACAGTAGAAGCTGTCTTTCTATGCTCTAACACCTTCTACAATCAAAATGCTTAGAGACAAGGAAGGAATTCAACCTTTGGGTCCTATTCCTAGAATCCCTAAACTAGTAACATTTAAAATATATGGACTTAAAAATGTGAAAATGAGCACTTGCGTTCAAGACCAATGCTATATATTAGCTTGAAGTTAGGATTAAAATAGAGAACAATTTGCAAACACATATGGACCTAGAAAGTACAATACTAACTGAAATAAGTCAGAGAAAGACAAATATCATATGATTTCACTCACATATGGAATTTTAAAAAATAAAAATGAAGAAAAAAAGAATACAAACAAAAAACAGACTCTTTTTTTTTTTTTTAAATTTATGATAGTCACACACACACACACAGAGAGAGAGAGAGAGAGGCAGAGACACAGGCAGAGGGAGAAGCAGGCTCCATGCACCGGGAGCCCGACGTGGGACTCGATCCAGGGTCTCCAGGATCACGCTCTGGGCCAAAGGCAGGCGCCAAACCGCTGCGCCACCCAGGGATCCCAAAACAGACTCTTAAATATGGAGAACAAACTGGTGGTTTCCAGAGGGGAGCAGGGGATGGGGTGAGTGAAATAGGTGATGGGGATTAAAGAGTCCACTTGTTACTGTATTGTACACCTTAAACTAATATCACACTATATGAAAAAAAATGGGAGAACAGGGATCCCTGGGTGGCACAATGGTTTAGCGCCTGCCTTTGGCCCAGGGCGCGATCCTGGAGACCCAGGATCGAATCCCACGTCGGGCTCCTGGTGCATGGAGCCTGCTTCTCCCTCTGCCTATGTCTCTGCCTCTCTCTCTCTCTCTCTCTCTCTCTCTGTGACTATCATAAATAAATAAAAATTAAAAAAAATATATATAAAAAGTTTAAAAAAAAAGGGAGAACATGGTATAATTACTAAGAATATGGATTTTAGAATCAAACTGCCTTATTCAAATTCAGACCTTGTCACTTGGGACCTGCTATTTGTGAATAAGTTAGTTAACATCTCTGCCTCAGTTTTCTCACCTATAAAATGGAGATAAGAACAGCACCACTTCACAGAGTTTATGGTGAGAATTAAATGAATTATGTGAAATGACTGGAGCAGTTCCTATCATCCCGTAAGGATTACTGAGTGACAGCCTATTTTTTATTATTATTATCATCTTTATGGTATTTTGAGTATTTAAATGCATACAAATTACAAATGATTTTTCTAAGTTATTGGCCTACTGCTTATGGTTTGGGTTTTTCCTCCTGAAAATCAGTGACCCTGAAAACAAACTTTTCTATAGAGGAATGGGCAGTGGAATTATAATCTGTTGCACTGGAAAAAAAAATTAGCTATTTAGACCAAATGTCTCTGGAGATTTATTATACTTAAAAAGTATTTTACATTATAAGAAATTTTTGAAATGTTTAGCAGAGTATATTTAAATTTTTAAAATGCTAATTTCAATGGTCATTCTGTCATATTCCATCCAACTCACTCCCCTCCCCCACCTATATTGTCAAAAGCCTAGGACAGAACTTTTGTCCCCAGCAGAAAGAGGAGAGCAATCCCTGGGAGCTGCCAGGTTCAGCCCCATGAGATCAGAAGAACTGATTTTCAGAACCTCTCAATCTGCTCGGATCAACCTTGAAGGGGCAGGGGAGGGAACAACCAACTAACCTAATTTAAGAAGTGTTTGAGTTATTTCTTGCTTCATTACCTATTACTTTGTCTTTCTCTAAAGAAATACTTTTATCATCCAAGAATCTCTTCTTGCCTCTTGGAAGAACTTAATTTTAATTCTCTGTTGATTTCACCAACAAAAGCAGCAAAGGTTCATTTGCTATGGAACTGGCTTTGGTTCCTCTGTTATAAAGGTAGAAAACCTTTAAGGAATGGATTTAGAGTACATATGTGTTAAATAGATACATAATGATAACCTTACTTCCTACAGCTAGAGGTACCTTCTGAAGGTCCACTCAGAAAGGAACGTGGGATGAACATCCCAGGTGTGGTCATGAAGGCCTATAGATGTTGTGGTTATTGAAAACTATCTACCTTGAGAATGAAGTGTGAACTTAAAAATAAAAAAGTCACCATCATATATATATTGAAAAGGGAACAGGACAGGATTACAAACTGGTATATGGAGAAAAAGAGCATCTTCAAGAGGTGGGAAGAAGAGCAGATCACAGAGAAAATTGTTTACTTCTGGTAAAAGTCCTGAGCATCAAGACTACAAACATCTGCCTCAGAGAGTTAAAATGCCTTCCACACAGTCCTGGTGTGGAGGTATATAGTGAAATAATGCTTCTTAATGTTCTTTTGCTACATTTCTCCTTAAACCAAGCTAAGATTTCCAACTGGTTTGGGCAGCAACTATAATTATGTATCCAAAATAAAGATTATTAGCAAAATCACACTTTAAATAAAAATTGCACTTATTGTATTCAAAGCTAGGCAATTCACTCAACCACTGACACTGCATTAAGAAAAGTCAACCTGAAAGTTAATTTACTTCATAATAGACTTCCATGTAATTTTTTAAGAGGATAAAATGCCTGGATAGAATATTTAGTATTGCGTGAAAATTATTCACCATGTCTTGTTAGTACACCTTCTGTAAATACACTCACTTCACATTAAAATAAAAACAAGTGAAATCATCTTCTTTGGAAAAAAATAATTCCTATTTTTTGTGAAGTCACACTTAGAAGTTCAGACCTCTAAAAGGAACACTGTGTCAATAATCTAAGGATAGCATGAGGATAAGAGAAAGCAAGCTGCTTTCCAAGGTCTTCATAGGCATCCTTACAGTCCTTGTGAAAAACCTTACCTGTCAACTAAACACTAAAAGAAATTTTACATTAATTTATTTTAGCCCCAGAAGAACCTGAACTCCTTGCTCTAGATTCTAGATTTTAAAATACAGTTAGCTGATAACACCAAAGAGGTGCTTATGAGCATCTTCATATCACTATTGATACTCTGTGTGCAAATTACATGCGTATGCAAAAGAGAAGCAGAAATGATTACTTATTTGATGTCTTACTGTACTTTTCATTATTTTTACCGACTATATAAATGCCAGCCTATTAAAAAGTATTTCATTACTTTTAATGATCTATAATTAGTAGCTGTTAATATAATTTTGTACAATTTGTCATTCTTTCACTCTGAAATTCTAAAGTTATGATACTTTTGGTTCACATAACCAATCACATACTCATGCATTTTATATTTTACATGCATTTTATATTTTAATTTTCTCTGTGATATTATTTTTGGGAGGTCAGGTGAGAAACTTGCTACTTTTGGTTAAAGGCCAAGGCAATGGTTGTCTAAAATCTGTCAAATTTTTCATTCTTTCGTATTTCTTTAAAAATAGCTTATTCTGAGAGGTGACAAGGATCAGATGGCTCTAAGCCATTAGACCTTAGACTGTGTTAAACCAAAAGAAAATGTCATCAGATCTTGCTTCGATCAGTAAGGTATGATACAAATCATGTTTGTGTTCAAATAGAAAACTACTAGAAATATGAATTCATATCCTTAGACAAGCAATGTTAGAACTTTTCAGGACTAGCAAATGTTGGGCAGCAATGCAACGTTTCACGTCAAGGACAGGTCTACCAATTCCCTGGGATGAAGGCTACCTCCCTTTTGTACTAGCAGGACCATTCCAAAGGAATGAATATAGATGCATTAAGTTTTATAAACTCCAGGGTTTTGTGGAATTTTGCAGGAAACTAGGGGAAAATATCCCCAAACCAATGCTGCACATTGTTACAATGTTTGAAATTTACCTGAATAAGTACCCAGCGTTCTGAAAGGCTCCGGTTCACACACATTCTTAAAAATTCACATTTTTCCTCTACCTAAGATCTTTAGACAGTGATTGAAAATTCCTCTCATTTAACCTGTGCATTCACAAGCACTTAGTTGCTCACTCTAGTTCTGTTTCTATCCATTTTAAAGGGCACATTTAACATTCTAAAAAGCTCCAGACCGCTTAAGTTAGCAAACAACCAAAATGCAAAAGTCATGAAAAAAAAATTAAATGTTAATCTTACCTCCGGTGGTTTGAGCGTCCCTTGTTCTGAAACAAATGTAAAAATTGGCATTGTCAGTGTAAAGTTATTTTGTTTGGTTAGCAACCTTAGCTTGTTCTCTGCAGCTTGGTAAAAACACTGCTGCTTTGTTTCCCTGATACTTGTAATATATTTCCAGGGTCCCTCAGGCTGGGCTAGTAATTGTTTTGCAACCCAGGTTCTCTTGCCTTATTGGCTTGTCAGGAAAGTGACTCATAGTTCTAAATGACTTCTAGGTTATGCTTAACTTTTTCAATTGTTGATTAAGCAATGTCAATCCAACCACATAAAGCTCCTTAAAACAGAGGCTTGCACTAAATTTACATGGATGAGAGGAAGCTAGGTGGGAACCTGTCTTTCAACACACCGAGTTTTAAGAATCCAGGCACATTAAGTTACAGAGGTATTTCGCCGACTACAGCAATTGCGAATTTAACGCTGTACAATATTGCATATGGATTTTTTTTCATTAAGTGGCTATAACTATTGTTTTTAATTCAGGGGGAAATACAGTTTGATTTAAAGAGGGAAATAAAAAGTGACAGGATTCGATTCCAATGCTAATTTCCCTTTCAACCCTAGTTTCTCCATCTGTGAACAGAAACAACAATCTCTTTACCACATTTCAGTTCTTCAAAGTGACCAGCAGTGACAGAAGGGCCCTGAGACCTGCAGGTGACTACAGTGGCAGAAGGGGAAAGGGTCATTCTGAGAGTAAAGGCACACGCTGCACATGGGCACCTGTGGATGAGATCTCCTTTCCCCATTCCCAGAAGCCCCTGACGTGGTAATGCTTTTCCAGACTGTGAAGGAAAACACCTCAACCTTTTGAGCCTATGCCTATGGTTTTCCCATCCAAAATGACCCTCTCAAGAAGGATCTGAGAAAAGAAGACACTGAGGGAAATGTCAGGAAAGAACCGGCAGGCCTAAACAAGAGCTTTGTAGACTTCTGTAAGAGGATCCAAGAAGTCCCACAACCAGAGTTCAAGGGGAAAATTCTGGCCAGAACACCTGACTGGCTTGACACAGATCGTTTTGCACAAGAAGCTGCCTGGGGCATGAACAGAAGGTTGTTTTGTTTTGTTTTGTTTTATAAAGGACTACTCCTGATTAATGAAAATGGAAGAAACATGACCAAAAAGTCACCTTTCCGGAGAAAAGTTAAGTCCGCATTCCTCTAGCAGTTTCAAATCCCATCACCCTAGCTTTCATGGAGGACTGCCTTCTCTGAAGGCATCTTTGCCAGGTCTGAGGCTGGCCAAGGAGTATTCCTTTGCCTTTATCAAGGAGTGTTCCTGGACAGCAAGCTATTTCATCTCTTTTCCTCCTCACTTAGAAATATGCAATGTTTCAGAAGCACGACGGCCCGAGAGGATCAGTGTTGTGGAGAGGGTCTAAGTCAGTACCATTTGGCTGAATGCTACGGCCAGACTTAGAACCCAGGTTAGGTGAGCTTAGTTTCCTAACAGGGCAGGTGTGATACCTGTTTTACTGGTTTGACCAGAAAGACCTATATTCCAGAATAGCCCTAAACTACTTTTTTTTCTCCTACTGGTGCATTAAAGAGTCTGAGCTAAGAATAGTAAACTGCAAGAAGCACCAAATGGGAGAAGAGTTTAAGTTTTCCATCCAAGGAGACTGAGGAAAGCTTGGACTACTAGATGTCCTCTAAAGTGGAAAAACCTCAGGTCTTTTGTGTTCAGCATTCATAAATGAATATGTAACTTAATTTCAATTTAAAGGCTATATGTTTTTTTCTGACCCTTTGCATAGAAGTGTTTTTATGTCCTCACAAGTAGGTCTTTCATAGTATGCTTTAAATGTTTCATATCTTTGTACAAAACCTATGATCAGCCATGTGGCAGCAGCAGGTGACACATCATGCTCCACGAGGGTCATCTGGTTACTCCTCAAGAAGTTCCCAGGGAAAAGATGGTATCACAGGTGGTCCTCTAACTGGCAGACACCTGCATCTCTTTACGCAGAAAATAAGATGTAGGAACAGAAGATCAACAACAGGCTCTTCCTATCCTTGTTGCATAGGGTTCAAATGAAAGTTAGCTGGCCCCCTGCATGAGTGAGCACCTATTACAGAAATAAAGAGAGTGAGAGGTCCCAGCGAGGCATATATGGGGCCAGTATAAAGCCAGAAGCAATCTAGCCTGGGCTGACCACCTCACCCAATTTCCCTCTTTCATTTGCCTCTTTCCTGTTGGCTCCAGCTTTTTCTCTTTAATGTCTCATCAAGCAAACCAGCTTTCTTCCTAATTCTGATTAGATATACTAAAAACTACACAAGCCCTCTTCAGTGTAACCCAAGTAGGAAAAATGGAAAAGGAGCTGTGTGCTGGATGCGACTCCAACTCTCAGGACATTAGTCCTTACTTAGGGCTTACCTTTTCCTGTCTTCATGGCTACCATGTCTACCCGGTACCCTGTCACCCAGGAAAGAGGCACATTTCCTCCATGCACTTGGTGTGGAAAAGTTCACACTCTGATCTTCTCATGCTGGGCCTAGCACCTGAAGAGTAGCTCTTGAAAGTCTCAGCTTTTATTTACTTCTACCTCATGGTAGGGTTCTGTAAGTTTTCTAAGATTAGGGTAAAACCCAAAGGACTGGAAATAACTCTTAGAATCTGTTCTAAGCTTAGCAGTTCTTATCCAGACTCTTCTGGTGATTACTTTTATACTTGGTCTAGCAGCCCTAGCATTGAACTGAGTGCCTCCTTTACAAACAAAATCTAAATTCTGATAACCATATTAATGCAACAGCTTGTTAACTGGTATTAAAATAACAGTGGTGGGAGAGAGGAAGACCCAACTACCCACACTGCTTCATACATTTTCAAAGTAAAAGCTCATTCTGGCCAGAAAAATAGAAGAACTTCTTTTGATTAAAAAGTCTATGGAAAACTTGCTCTAATTTTGAAGTCTCCAACACCATCCTCAACCTCCTCTTGATACGGACCCAAAACTACTATGCAGCAGGTACTTGGGTCCCTAAAAAACACTTGGGAGTGTCACAGTTCTGCATTAAGACTAAGTCATAAGGGCTGATGACCATCAAATCTATTTTAGCTGAATTCTGACCCAACAGAAAGGTTGCTGCTTGAGATATGATGAAAAAGTCTTTCTTTCCATCTCTTTTTCTCCTGGGAACTTCCTTAGGAGAGTAATTCAATTCTTCAAGTTTCTAAAAGTTTTTAATCCTCAACTTGTCTTTACCCTGCAGCCTATTCTCAGACTCCTATTGATCAAACTATAAAATGTTCTTACCCTTTCAAGAGCCTTTCTAGATGGTGACTCACAGGCCCTCAAGGGGTTTATACCTCACATTCTTTCATCAAGTCCCAACTGGTTTGATGTAATTCAGAGAAGGGGTGTTACTACTGAGATGCTTGGAGGCTTTGCAGAACTCTATCTTCAATGCCAGCACAGGGCTCAATGTGCATATTTGTGTAAAAGAAATGTTTTTCAACAAGGCTTTAGATTCACTTAATACAATTCATTTGTTTAAACAAAAAATTCAGTCCTATTACATTTGTTTTTCCAATACAAGTGGCTCTCAGTGAATACATTATTGCACAGTTTGCTTTGTCTCTTATCCGAAGTTCTATTTGTTAAGACTAAACAAATCAATGTCCAAGTAAGACTGTTGGTCTCAAAAGGGGCCACAAAAAAGTAATAACCAGTATAGCTTCTGAAGGGGCCTTGTTATCATGGCTAACATGCTAGTTTTGTGAGACATTAAAAGACAGCTGGACGGATCAAATTTTGAAGTTACACAAATGTTATGTTCACCACTCAGACCTATAGCAATATTTTGGGAAAAAAACCCTATAAATAACACTTGGAAAGAGGCTTTGATTTCAAGTCTTCTCAGGAGCTCTAACAGAAGTACAACTACATAATATTTTCCTGTTCACTTTAATAATCATTAATATATCATTAAACTGACCTAAATAGTTAAGTGGAAGGAATAATAAGTACCCTTGAGTATAAAATTTTCTTGGTAAGTTAAGAAAGAGAACTAATTGATGGGAAAGGCTTTAATATGAAGTAGAACCAAAGTCATTTTTTGATTATGAAATCAAGGATCAAGGCTTAGCTCATGTAAAAGTAACCTGATAAAATACCTACTGGCAGAAGACAGAAATAAAACTGTATTCTTTTATGATAAAATATTGCAATACTATTTATAAAAAAGCTATTTCTGATGCCAATTTGGGGTGCAGGGTCTAGGTAGCAATCCTGCAGGTTTAAACCATTAGGATACTGAGACACCTTGCTTCCAATTAGGAATGGCTATGGCAGCAGCAGGAGCAGCAGCTGGCCTAGATAAAAGAGCGATTAAACAGAGAAGCAAATGGGGACCTGCTTCGGTTAAATATTAGAGCAGCTGAGGCTTGCATTCCCACTAAAGGAAAAGATGCATTAAACCAAAGTTGTCTGCTCCAGCAATATTTGCCTTCCGGTGCTACTTTCTTTGTTTAAACTGAGAGGATGCAAAGCAAGCTATATTGATCAATGTCAGGATAAGAAGGGAACAACAGGGTTTCAGCAGGGGAAAAACACAAATGTCCCCCCAAAATTGTGGTTTCGGATTAGACCTTCACGGTGGTGTGCTGTGAGAAAGCCAAGCCACTCTAGAATTACATCAGCTTTGCAGTGACTTGTTGAGAGAGTCTTATATAATGGAGTTCATACCTATTCATTATTAGGGTTGGAAAGTTTGGCAGCACACTTCAGAGGCCATGTACGTGTTGATCATCGAGGTTGCCATGGTGAATGTGAGGGAGTCAACTCAAGTTCAGTGAAAATGAGAGAGTGAAATTGCCCGCTCTTTATATCCATGCAAATTCTCAAATGTTAAGACATAAACTAATCACCCAACCTTCAAATTTGTTTCTTAGTTGCATAGTTTGTCTTACAAATACAAAAAACAAAACAAAAGTTAAAGCACCCTTTTTTCATACTTCAAATGCACTTGAGTTAATAATCTGTCA